GAGCAAAACCTGTAAAATTAAAAACAACTTCAATTAATCTTACATCAAGCACGTAATTAACTACTATCAAGCCAAAGTATTGTTTTTAAACGAAGGGCGTTTCATTACTATAATTACCTTTTCGGTAGGATCCAAAGAAACCCACGTTTTCATTTTAATCGCCAGTTCTTTTGTTTTCCGCGAATAAACACGGGTACCTACTAATTAATCTGCTCGCATTTTTTACGGAATTTATCCGTTTAACGTATTCATTGTCAGATTTACGTGGAAAGTAAATCACATACAATCACGTGGGACGAGCGACAATTCAGTGCCAGTGGCGCAGGATCCTCAGTGAGACAGTTTTTTAAATTAGTTAATGTTAATGTGACAACCACATTCTCAATACCTTTTGTGAGTTGTGCCACACATCTAGAGCTGATTTATTATTATTTATTGCACATTACAAATTTTCAGTTATTATGATTAACTCAGAAAACCAATATATTTGCGTAGTTAAATAAGAAAAAAATTGAGTGTGTGATAAAATGTTTGATATGTTAATCAATCTGGAAATAAAATCGGATATTGTTCACCCCTTGTGCAGCAGAATTTTGCATTTGCGTATCTGGCGTCTGCTGGGTTTCAGCAGCGAACTTGTGAAAAAAGTTGAACGATGGTATTTCTTGAAGTATTTGCTTAAATGTTAAGAAGCCAGCAGACAGTCAATACCCGTCGCAGGAGGAAAGAAAAAGAAGTTTCCCTACATATCGAGTACTATTTTCTTCCGATATATTTAAATCATTGAAAGAAACCGTTTTTTAGAATTACAATTTTTAACTTTGAAAAATAATGGTTGAGGAATATCCTAGACCGAGCTAAATTCGACATAAAAAAAATGTAAACTTCCCTGTTGATATCTCGAAAACCAAATGACCTGACCACGATCAATAATGAGCGTGCACGTTTCAAATTTACGAGGCCCAAGTAAGCGAAAGTAAAAAAAAGCTTTTATAGTATACGTACAATGGCAAGTTGAGCAGAACCGTATAAAAAACAAACGCCCCGCTCGTGGCTGTATCGACTGATTCTATTTGCTATTCTCCAGATAGAGCTTTGGATAATTGAGTTTTGTGTCTGCAGTGCCGTTTTATCGTTTTTTTTTACTATTCTGTTTCGAAACTTACCGGAATGGCAAATGCTTTATACGTATACAGCCTTTGTAAACTCAGATCTAAATGGAAAATTAAATTTTCATTTGGTACGCTTTGTATTTTATTGAAATGTAAGCTTGGGATGTTGCACGGGATTTCTAGAAAGCAACCGTATTGTCGGCGAAATATAAACGAATTTCGATATTAATATCTGGGATGGTTATTCGGATCAACGTTTAACCAAACAAGAGATTCGAGAATTCACTGGTCCTAAATCAGCCCCATATAGAAACTCAGCTTGATAGCCCTCATTTAAGCAAGACCGTCCATAAACCACTGCTGGAGTTATAATTGATGTGATTTCTGTCTAATAAAATGTAAAAGGATGCTAGTGTATGACTGCAAACTTCAACTCTTGGGGAAGTTATTACCTCTCACTTTTGACTCTTGTTCTTGTCCAAGATTTTTTTTTTTTTTCACCAGAACTCTGATTTAACCATGGGGTCATGTTTAAGCCCATGGTTGAGATAACTCTGCATGCACAACCTTGAGGAAAAAGTAATGAATTGATATGTATGTAGGTATTGTAGTGTATTGTCTTATTTTATCGAATATGACTTTAACGCAAATTCTTTGCAAGTCTGATGATGCTACCTATTGTAGCGAAACACTTGAAATAAATTAACAAAAATAACATCTTTTAATTAATTAACGTTAGTGTGTTCATACTTCATAACCATAACCCACCGTAGTAGTTTACAACTCCCAAGTGTCTTACTTAGTTATGGTTATTTACGGCATGATTATAAGATATAAAGTTGAACTAGAAATTACATTAGTGTGTGATAGTTTACATACAACTCACGCAAGCACACGTAAGCAAGGCTTTTCCTCGCGAATCGTTTTGTAATATATCCCAAAAGACTTTGATTTTACCTTAATATTGTCTTCCTTAAAAATTCTTTGTTGATATTTTCAACCAAGGTTTGTTTATTAATAGTTTGATTTCTTGTATGTATGTATGTATTATTACTATTAAAAATCTAATTACGAAACCAGGAGACGAATCATTGCGTTGTATAACGATTTTGTTCTAAAATAATTCCACCCTAATGTCCAATTCGGGAGCTATTAGAGAAATACAACTCGTTTAGTTTTAAGTGGGGATTATTTGCAGCGCCGCACACCATTTTGGCGGAAACTAATTAATATAAGTTTCTAATTCCGACGTTAGTGATATATATATATATATATATATATATATATATATATATATATATATATATATATATATATATATATATATATATATATATAGAAAATATATATGGTTTGGTCATTATTTTAAGCTTTTGTATAAGCTTTTGGATAAGGGTTGACGGGGATTACATTTGGTAAAATTGGCTAGAACGAAATTAAAACTAAAATTATGAGAATTTAAGTTAACGTTGCCGTCTCGAATTAGAAGTGAGTGTAAAAATCTGTAAAAGGCAATATAATTAACATACTGCATGCAAAATAGTCAACACGTTGCGCAGCATCATCGGTAGTAAAATCTGAAATGTTCCGCAGGACAAGAAGGAAAGCATGCAACTGAACTAATAAAATAAAAGTTGATTTACTGTTATAACGCCATTTCCATCCGTAACAGCACATCATCAATTTCGAAATGGAACAAGTTACACCGAAAACGATAAAAAAAGGTATGAAAATTATAACAATTACACAGAAAAGAATGAAATGTAACCTAAAAAGACAATTGAAATGAAAGCTATATAAAAATAATCTTTGTTAAAACCTTTATTTCCATCTCAAATTATACAAATAATTCGTGGAAAATGGTGATACATGTATTGTATTTTCCAAGATATTTGGTATTGACTTCTTCTTCTTCTTCCTCTTCTTATTCTTGCTATCATTGTTAACCACGTTATTCGTATAGAATTTTGCCCTGCATACTTCTCAGTGTTTTCATTTCAAATGTTCTCATCATTTGTAACGGTTAGTTTGTATCTGGTCTTATTTCAGCTGCATATGTTATGATGGGTCTTATAGTCGTTTTATATATCTTGACTTTATTTTCTTTATTAAGGCATTTGTTCTTCCAAACTTTATTAAACATATTTATTTCCGTTGCTCGTTATTTCTATTTGCAAGTATTTGAATTGGTTTTCCTATTTTTGTTTGTTGTATTTGTAAAAGTTCGTATCCTTTATTAATATTAATGAGAGGGCTCGAGCGTAATAATAATAATAATAATAATATATTATTATTAAATAAGTTTAAAAAAATAAGTAGACCGGGATACACGCACATCAACTTTTCTGCGAAGATTTTATGCCACTTGCAGATAGTACGGAACTCCACTCCATTAACTAATGTTCAGCTTACCGTTGTAAAACTTATATTCAAAACGCCCCTACTATAATTTTGCTGGAATGGGGGCTTGTTAAATTGAAGTTTAGTTTTACATTGGGGAACAGACCTTTAATATAAACTACGAGTATGTTCGGTGACTGAAACCATTAAGTCGTAACCAAATATCTTGAAACAGTAGATAATGTGCTATACTAAGAAGACGTTATTTGGATGCTAGTAATAAGCGAGACAAGAGCATCATAAAAAGTAAATTACTTGCGAATTTCGGCCGTTGAGACACAGGACTGATTTTAGCTTATATAATATTAAGCACTTTAAGCGGCTTTCGGAAACTGTTTCTAAAAGCCGCGCTAGACGCAAATTTGTGGGACACACAGGCCTTAGAAAATTGTCCCTACGCTTTTTGCATGTTTCCTTAATTCTTGGAGCTTCAGAAATAAATGCCTTTCTTTAACCTAGCTGAAACTAACAACGGGAACAAGCATTCGCATTAGTCATGACATCCATTTACTTAGTTGTTTTCATGATGTTTGACTTAATTAGCAGGTAACGATTATTATTATTATTATCATTCTACAATATAAGCAAATATTATCTAACCACACCCATTCAAAACGTTCTATATTATTTACATATTTTAAAATAAATTTCACAGAACACAAACCTTTTGAAGTCCATTCTGTTGACTTCTTCAGAGCTTAACTAAAACTGGTTTTCTTTCCCCTGTGTACCTGCTGATTGAGGGGATCGGAGTTAAAGAACATTGTCTCGGATAACTCATTCCCATATTGACCTTTGAGTCGCAGTTAAGATGGTTCGCTTGTTTAGAAATTTCTATGGATTCTCGGATTTATCATTGGTAGAAGAATTGAAAAATTTTAGTTTGACTGCATAAAATTTGATGTATGGTTTTATGGTTGTATTCGGCAACTGCTGCATTGTTGTAGTCTTAATGCGCTTGCATGTTCTTTTAACCTAATTGATACTACGCACATGCATGGAAAGCTGTAAACCCTTTGATGGTGGTAAATCTTTATATTTTTATTTATGTTATATTTTTATATATTACATGTTTAAATACAATGATTAAACCAGATTTAGCACCACATTACCATTTGCCTAAAATCTCTCAACATCTTCGAGCCATCAAATAAAAAATTCCGCTAATCTATTTTCTATTCCTCTTGTATACTTGGTGCCAATACTAACCAATATCTAACCAAAAACTACCGGTATATGGTGACAATAAGAGGAAGGAAGTTTAATCCAAACCGTATAAAAGCTTAAAATAAACAAATTACAGCTGGGCCTATTGTAATATAAACTTTAATCAAACATTTTAATCTACATATCAACATATATTTATCTAAACTATGCTTATCATAAACCACACGTTCATAATCATATGTATTGGGTAATTCATCTAAACACACAAGATAAAAATTAACGACTGATTTCGCATTAGCGATTCGCGCGTTGTGGAGTAAACTAACGTCAAAGATGACTCTGTTAAAAAATTTGGCTAGTGCTTCGAAGGAAGAGGTGTCTGAGTTTATTAATTCCTTTGATCATGTTTTATTTGATATAGACGGTAAGACATTTTATGCAATAACGAATTTTATCAAAATAAATTTTGTGTTTATTTTATTTTAGGTTGCTTGCTACTAGGCGGAATTGTGGTTTCAACAGCGGACACGTGCGTGTCTAAACTCAGGAAGCTCGGGAAAAGAATAGCAGCCGTAACGAATAACTCTATTTTACCGCCAAAAAATATAGAGATGCTACTTGCCCCGTTTGACATAAAATGGGACCGAGTCGTTACTCCAGCGATGGGAATTTTATCCTACTTGAAAAGGGTTAAATTCAGTCGAAGATTGTATGTGATTGGATCCACTAATTTTAGGGAATCATTGAAGAAAGAAGGTTTCGACATTGTCGACTTTGGGGTAACTAATCCTCCCTTTTTTTTGTATAGCAGATTAAAGATCGCGCTTTAAAGAAAAAAGACACATCACTTATTTTTAAACATAAATCAATTCTTTTAAAAATGCAATATTTTACAAAAAAAACACATTTGAATACATGGCCATCTATAATTTTTATTGCAACACGGGCAATAAGAAGAAAGTAACCTGGCGAGGACGTTTGCAGGAAAAGAACTGACAAAAATTTAGTTATTCGATGTAGTTTACGTCCCATAGGCATTTCGTAAATCAACAAAATATCGATATGTGCTTCAATATTCCAGACAGAAAATCTTGAAGAAACAATGAGCGCAGTTATGAAACACATTGGGCAGATAGCAGCTACTTCGAACGTAGGTGCTGTTGTTTTGGAGATGGATATCAATTTCACTTTTGCCCAAGCTGTACAGGCAATTGTTTTACTAAAAACTTATAAAGATATAGAATTAATTACAGGGATGAAAGACATTTCGCTTCCCCTTGCCAAGGAGTTCACTGTTTTGGGTATGGTTTCATTATTATATAAATTTTAATGGCGAGTTCGTTTAGACACGAGCGAGTGTCTGATAAATTTATTGCACATCATATTTTGTTCTATGGCCGTTAGCTTTTGGGAATTTTTTGCAAAACAGCATAAAAATATTCACTGAATGACGTGCGACGCGATATTTGAATTGACACACTTTAAAATATCATCAGCGTTTTAAATCTGCAGGAAACATAAGATCACTCACACACCTTAAAGCACAGCAGATGACTGAAGTGGCTGTCGACAGTGTTTAACGAAGTTGACGGTTTCTAGTGATATTTTGCTGATTATTTCATAATTTGGTATTTTAGTACGCAATAGAAAATAGTTATTTATAAAACTAACTAAATAACTTCAAAACTAAAATAACTTCGAATTTCCATTACTCCGTCCGTTATCTATCCGGAACCTTGTGCATTAAGTAGAAAAAAAGCAATGAAAGTTCTAAGTTCTTTTAACACAAATTAAATTTAAACAAAAATGTTCAGATTTTCACAGTTTTTAATGCTTTCGGGAACACCGTGCCTTTATCAAATACAAAATATGACTATATTCCGACATATATATAAAACAGGTAGTAATAGAAATTTAATTACAAGTATAGGGTTATAAATTTAAATTTAACAACGGAGACGCATTTAAATCCAATTGGTTATTAAGTAATAAACTCGAATATCTCATTTTTTTAATCTCCATAGTTTCCAACAAATTTCATTTCTGAATTTAAATGAATGGCATAGTTAGAATCCGACCTTTTAATTTTATACTCCATTTTAAGTTCGTTAAGATCTACATTTCAACTTGTAGAGTCCGGATTTGTGAGTTATTCGTAATTTAGTTTTATTGTTTTTTTCGAAAATGCCCTATGGTGTTTTCAGTTTCAAAAGCAATATTAATACCAAATTTAGATAGATGTTTCGAAATTTTCATACTAGGTTCTCCTATGTATTTTATTCTTTTATAAATTTTGTTTTCGGTGTTTAATATGAGATAGAAAGAGTTCAGAATTATTTGAAACTGCTTTTTAGTTATAATCTTATCTATCAAACCATTGCTAAAAGCCATTTGTATTACAATATTTAATTCTTTTTCATAATTTTCTGTTGAAAGTGGTACATTAAGAAGTCTGTTGATAAAAGCATAGAAGGCAGACATTTTGTGTATGTATGGATGATTTGAGTTAATATATATTATTGTGTCCATATGTGAGAGTTTATGGTAAATGGAAAAATCGAACTTGTTCTGTATTTTAGTTAGAGTTGGGTCCAGAAAGTTTATAAAGTTATCTTGTTCCACCTCTATGGTAAATTTTATGCGGTTATATATCGACTTAATATGATTCAAAAAGGAATGCAGTTGTCCTTTGGCTCCAGCGAAACAGGCAAAAACATCATCTACGTATCTATACCACCAGAGAAATCCTTTACTCAGAGGATGTTTATGTATGATATTTTCTAAATTGTCTATGAACATTTCTGCAAGTAGTGGACTAAGTGGGTTTCCCATAATTAATCCTTCTTTAGCAATATAAAATTGACCATTAAATTCAAAATAATTTTGGTGTGAACAAACTATTAAACTATCAAGGAAGTCTTATTTTATGATGGGATTAACTTGTCTCTGCGTGAGAATATTGTCTATTATGTTTATTACGTCAATTGATGGAATGCTAGGAAATAAGTTTTGAGCATCAAATGAAACTAAAATTGTCTTAGGAGGAATTTTTATGTCTGCTAATTAGTTCGAATGCATTTTTAATAGAATATCTAGGTTTAAAGGCAGTATAATATTATAAAATTTTAATTATTTATATTTATATTTATATTTATATTTATATTTATATTTATATTTATATTTATATTTATATTTATATTTACATTTACATTTACATTTATATTTATATTTATATTTATATTTATATTTATATTTATATATGTGTATATATATTTTGTATTTGATAAAGGCACGGTGTTGCCGAAACAGCTGCCATTAAGCATTAAAAACTGTGAAAATCTGAACATTTTTTGTTCTAATTTAATTTTTGTTAAATGGGTTTTCATCAAGTAAAAACAACCTCCAATTTAAGTTCTTTTAGTTTCAACACAAAAACATTGTCCTCTACATTCATGCTTTGTTTAGGGTCCGGATTTTACATCGACGCCATCGAATCAATAACCCAACGTACCGAGTCCATCACAAGATTCGCAAAACCAAGTGCTAAGTTAGCAGACGTGGCTAACGAGAAATTTCACATTACAGATCGGAGTAGGGTTTTATTTGTAGGCGATAGGTAAGTAAAACACAAACAATCAAAAGCGGGAGTGTTCTGAAAGGTGTATATTTTACGAACAAGACGGAACTAGAGATGCGATTATGAAAAGCTTAATTAAGTGCACTGTTTGTTCCAACAATTAAAACTTGCGAAGGCAGCGTTTATTTTGAGAATTCTATTGTGATTTAGTATTTCTTTGCGCGAATAGTTCGTTTGTTGCCTTTAAGAAAGAATTTAAATTACTCGTTGTTTTAACAAGACTAATCGGAAAATACCCCGTGTTGTATGTTTCCAAGAAAAATTTATTTAATTTTAATAGCATTATTATAAATCGAAAGATGATTTAAACAATCCTTATTAAATTTGTCTGTAAACTTACGCAAACACTTCAATTATGGACAAATGTAAGCAAAATATTTAAAAAATGTTGACAAGTTTGATTTACGTTTCGAATCTTAGAATCCGGCATTAATACCAGCATTACACTTACACCTATTTCATGAAATTTCTGCAAATTAATTTACGTAATAACGTAATAATGTTTCAATACTTCAAAAAAAACATCATAGATACAAAGATAATGTAAAATAAATAAATTCTGCTAGGCCATTAATCTAGTAGTAAATCTACTGATCGATTAAATTAATTAAGAACAGTCAGTCCGTGTAAGATAAGACGAAGAGAGAAGGAGTGTAAAACTATACAACTATTACACTTTTTATTTTCATAGATGGTTATAGTTAGTGTTTTTTCTTTTTCTCAATCAATATACGTATATTTTATATCATGTTGGTATAACAATTTTCACCTCTTTGCGGTGTATGGTTTTTATGCTTAAAATTTTGCTGCTGATGATATAATCCATATCCAGTAAATAGTATGTTTTTGAACAGTGTATTTTTGTTTGTGTGTGTGTCAATCAAATATTTTGTTGTAGCATTGAAAGTGATATGGGATTTGCACACAACGCCGGGTACAAAAAGTTGCTCGTATTGACAGGAAATACGAAGGAGAAAGACATTATTAACTGGCAATATCCTGAAAGTCATAAACCGGATTACTATATTGAAAGTGTAGGCGATTTCGGCGAATTGCTAACTAAATTCAACTTCGCATAATTTATTGTTTATAGTAATTTATTATTTATCGGTAATAAAACAGGACATTTTAGGTTATATATTGCGTTGCAGTTTGTTTAACGTTGCCTATAGAAGGCGCTAATTGCAAACGGTAATTATAATAAATTCTTTTTTTTCTACATAATAAAATTTATTTTGTTACCTTTTTCATATTCCAATCTATTTTCAATTAAAAAATTTACAATACAAAAGAAATTGATTAAAAAAACCAACGAAACACCAACCTTTATTGAATAGCTGGGTATGTAAATGCGAACTTCTTGAGAGACATAAATGAGGAATATTTCCCCTTTGGAAAAAAAAACTGAAACGTTCGTACTTACGAAAATCGTTTCTTACTCACTTTAAAACCTTTGCGAAACTTCAAGATTAATAAAATAATTTACGAAATGAACAAAAGAAGCCCGACGCAGAAAAAAAAACCATTAAATCCACGCGACCCTGGAAAGGATGGGAGGGAAATCAATAGTGCCCCAGGTGTGAAGTAAACGATTATGCTATTTCGCCGCTTTTCCGCTAAAGGAAGGGAGTTATGCGGAATTTGAGGTATTTGGAAGTGATCAGGCGCTTATAAACTCGAATCCCGCGCCTTCGTTGAGTGACATTTTACACTTTATTGCGTCGATTTGAGATTTTCCTCGCAACGTTTCAGCACTTTGTTTTGCTTAAAGGCGAAGGTGACAACATCAATGTTAAAAGTGTCTACAAAGATTTTCTTTTACCGTGTAAGTGATGTCATGGGACGTGTTTGATTTAGAAGCGCATTTCTAAAGTGCACTCTAGGGTACAATTGTTGTGTTAATTTATTACACAATCTTGTAATACTTTGTTTATTCTCATTTTGTGGTTTTTACTAAAATAAATATCTTTAAAATTTACACATTTGTTATTCGATATTGTGCACATTTTTTACTGCCTCTATTAAAAAGTAGGCAAGCGAGTGTATATTGTAGAAACAAGAATTTATTTGTATGCTCATGTGCAGCCGTGTGGTCGAGTAATCTAGAATTTCAAGATTCCCGCATAATAACTCTTATTTTAACTACTATGACTATACCACTACATAACTATAAAAGAAAGATCATCACTAATGTGAAAAAATATTTAATTTGTGTAGAAAAGACAAAGAAACGAATTTATACAATTTGAGGAAAAATAACTACCCACTGTCATTTTGTAAGCAATTCGAAGATAAAATGCGTAATAAGAGTATGCGTATATTCAATCGTTATTCAACTCACCCGTGGCTTTTTTCCACACAAGTGAGGAAAAAGTAATTCATTTCATTGAAGCAATTATATAAAAGTTAAAAGTGTTTCCACTGATATAATATATAGTCCAAATGGCTAAAGGACGAACAACGAAAGTAAAAAGATACTTTTTAATGGCGAAACACTTGTGAAAAAAAACATGTTTTGCAATGATTCCTTCTCAATTGCCGGACGCCTGACAAAAAAACATACTTTATATATCTAAGTATAAAGACCTAGCCTAGGGTGCCGACTACAGATTTTGGTATTTACTACCCTTTAATTTTTGCTTGACATGGTATTTGTATAATTTGATCATCAACTTAAGATGCTTTAGTTTAGATTTTTTCTATTCGACCTGTATATCTTTTATATAACAAGATTTTTGTTGTAGAGTGTAAGCGCGGGAGAGTTGGCTCACGGTTTTTTGAAAATGTATAATGAAACAAAAAACAGCAAACAAAATAAGACATAAAATTAATATTAGCAACAATTATCGAAATCTATATTTTATGATGTGAAAGTTTTTCATTAGGTTGTTGATGTTAACTAAACTTTGAAGAATATTTTATCTTTTAATGCATTTTGAAATATTAGTGATTGCAAATAAATAAATAAACGAGCGACACGACAAATTGGTGGTGCCTTTTTGGTATCAAGTTGTCTAATTTTTTTTTAGATTTTAGTAATTGACAGTAATTTGATATTTTATTGCAAAGTATATATTATCCATTCTATTTTTCTATTTGTATCTTTTGTATTTAGGACTTTCGCTATACCTAAATACATAAGTACATAAATTAGTGACATTTTCGTTATTTAAACACATATAAACCGTGTTTATTTTCATAATTTGCCAACAAGAAGTAATAGTTTACTAGCTGTTGTTAATGAATAATGTTTTTATGAATTTTTAGCCATTTTAAATTACTGCCTAAATTGTATTTTGCCGACGCAACATTTGGATAAGACCGTGACTTGCATCTAAATGAAGAGGTTTCTAAATGAACCGCCAATTTCAATCTAATTTAAACGCAGATTTCTTCCGAACTGTAATGTTTTCTTGTGAAATGCGAAAATAGGTTAATTAAATTGGTTACCAATTTATTATTTTTCTAGAAATTGATTTCGTTATTCTCAACTATTAAAGTCGATTTTGCCTTTCGAATGCAAAAACTGTAAATAGTTTCCATGAGTTAAACGACAAACGGCAACCCGTTGCAATAAAACAAATAGACGGCGACAGTATCTTGTGTTGCCTAGCACAGAAATAGCTTCATTTAAAATAAAGTTCTCGCGTGGGGGAAGTTATTGTCTATATTAAATCTTTATTTCTCCCATGTTCACGTAAACGTCTACTTTCAACCACCCAGCGCTATTAAAATGTTTTATGGATCACGTAAAAGAGTCACTGACTTCTTGTTTTGACTGTGGGGAGTTTGCAACTGGATTATGGCTCTGTTGATAATAAAAATGGGAATCCGTAAAGATCACAAGCAATAAATATAAATTACGCAGGCTCGGTTACGAGAAAACGAGTCGGATTACGATAAAACGAGCAAAACAAAACTTATAAACTGTATCATGAAAAATATTTTTTTAAATGTATTTTATGTATTTTATTATTAATCTAGCTCGGTGTTCAGTCAAAAATTTACAGTGTCAACTTAATCTTAATTAGATTTCTTATAACATTGAATTTTAAGATAAAAATTTATCGACAAAAAGAATGACGAAGCAAAATCTTATCTGGTTCTCGTAGTTTAAAGTGGATTTTGTATTCTTGTGAATTTCATATAAAACGTTCTATCTTTATGAAAAATATTATCGTTTAAGGTCAAATACGAGTTGTTCATGGCCGTCAGATCAGTAATGGAAACAACAATGACAAACTAATAACTGGAAAACCTGGAAAATAATTGTAATCCGAATGACCTATTAGAGATTGTAGAGGTTGCTGAAAATTTGTTTTTCTCCTTTCCTTCTTTTTTGTCATTTTTCTTCGCAGTTTATGATCTTCCCTTTTAACTTTTACCAACTAATTTTCCATATACTTTACTTTATAGCTTTGTGAAAAAATGCCGTCGTTTAATAGTAATTCAATTCGGTCAACTCGATCTAAACCAGTGCGTGATGCAAATTTGACCATAGGAAAAGAGAGCTAGTAATGGGGATTCTTCTCTTCAGTTGTTCATTTATACAGGGTGTATCAAAAAACGGCCATGTCAGAAAACGCCTCATTCAGAAGCTTTGTAACAACAACCTCATTTTTTTTTTAATTATTTCTGAAACGGTTTAAGATGCATCAAAAAAAACTTATGGCACAAATACATTTGGTTTGCTCATGTACTGCTAATAAAGTGGAAGTTCAAAATAATCTAAAACATTCGTACTTCGTAATTGTTTCGGAAGCAACCATTATGCCCTGAGATAGTTCGTTCCTGCGTATGAAAATTACTTAAAATTACTTTAATCCCGTTAGCATTACTTTCTAAAGCCTCAAGTGACTCTAAACCCAATTTTTGTTTTTACATTGAACAAGAGTACATTTGTTATTCAAAACAGTTTAAAAAATATTATTTTTGCCATGAAAATTTTAAATGTCTATATAAAAAAGTTTCCGGTCCTCCGCTTCAGAGTCACCAGCAACGCAACGACTGATATCATATCAAAAGTATTTGCAGAATAAATTTGGATTAAAAATAAATTTTAATAATTTAATTTAATAATAATTACAGTTTCAGAAGTAATTTTTAAACAAAATAATTTTTCGGGAACTAACGTTATTTTTTAATATTTTGTTTACACCAGAAATTAACGGAACGTTTGTTGAAACATAACATAACATAATTAGGAGAATGGAGTTTTTTCGTTGTTTGATTTCCGCATTTATCGACATACCAAATTATTTATTTCCACATTGCTAATTTATTTTCACACATCGAAAAAAAACGTACGGATTGATTATATTCCAAATTCAAAATCTTTAAGTTTTTCTGACATTCTGAAATAAAATAATTTCACAAAATACCCTCTGCGATTTCTTATCAAAAATCACACACATTTTGAAATTAATGAAAACAATCTCTTACTACATTTAGTCATTAACATTAAAGTGCATGGCAAATAAAACAATCCCCTTTACTACTCGTCTCATTCTAAATAAAAATTTCTTCTCAAAATCCATATATGCAGCCATTCCAGTTCGATAAATGGAATATTCACTGATAAGATTTAAGATAGTTTAACGAATTTTTAATGGTAGCTAAGCACCTATGGTCTGTTCATAGATATAAGAAAATGACCAATTGCTTTTGAATGGGATTATCCATGGCCATTAACATACAATGCAACCAGATTATTACCTAAAGTTTCGGAATTTAAATTCAGGTAAAATTCTGGTCCGTAACAGAAAATAATTTTATATCTACCTGTGTTTAATATTCTTTGGTTTGGTATACTACTTAGTTTAAGTTTATTAGTAATCATTCTTATTTCGTGCCTAATACAGCGTCTGTTGAATCATGTGCCAATTGTGCAAAATATATGCCAGTCTAGTATCTCAGGAGATGCTCCCGCCCAAATGTAGAAAACACTATTCTATTGAGACTAAGGAAGTTATAAACAATGTTTATTTCACTCTCATTGAACGTGGTGCCAGCAAGCAAAACTGCAAGTATAATAACGACATTTATTTTCACGAAGATTATACCAAAAAGCAATTAATTGAGGTTCTACAAAAGGAATACGTCTGTGATAATTATGCAAAAAATCTAGGGCATACAATT